GCTCAGTGAGGTTAGGGCGCCTGCTTGGGAGCAACGGCAGGAGCGCGATTCAAACCCAGGTCTCTGTACTCTGCTCCGGTTCTTGGTGCCTGAGCAATGCCGTGTCCTCGTGCAGGGGGACACCACGGCTCCTGGACCCAGCTCTTCTCCCCTCCCCTCTGCTGCTCCTCTCTGCCAGTAACCCTCACCCCTCCACGAGTCCTCACTGAGCACTGCTGCACACCGGACGCCGTGCCGAGACACGCACTCAGCAGACAGGCCGAGTTCTTGCCCTCCAGGGCTCCCAGTCCAGCAAGGAGGCCAACCAGCCACCAGGCAGATACAGTAGGAGTCGATAGTGAAGGGGTGGGGGACCCCAGGGGGGCTTTGGCCCAGCCTTGAAGGAGGCGACCTAGAGCTGAGAAGGAAAGGCTGAGGAGGAGAGAAGGGGAGGGGAGGAAAGGGCATCTGAGGCAGAGGGAACAGCATGGTAAAGGCCTGGAGGTGCAGATGACATGGTGCAATCCAGAAGTGACAGAAGTTCAGGGGGTCGGGCATGGCTCCAGGTGAGGTCGAGAGGCCAGCAGAATGCAGCGCACGGAGAACTCAGCCTTACGATTGGCGAGGGTACCTGGGAGCATGGGAGGGTTTGGGGTTTGGGTTGTTGTTGTTTTTAAATATATTTTTATTTATTTCAGAGAGAAAGGAAGAGGGAGAGGGAGAGGGAGAGAGAGGAACATCAATGATGAGGGAATCATTGATCGGCTGCCTCCTGCATGCCCCCTACTGGGGACCAAGCCTGAAACCCGGGCATGTGCCCTTGGCTGGAATCGAACCTGGGACCCTTCAGTCCACAGGCTGACGCTCTATCCACTGAGCCAAACCGGCGAGGGCATGGGAGGGTTTTGAGTAGTGGGGGTGACAAAGCCCAGTTCCTGGCATCAAAGGCTTCAGGAAGCCCCCAATCCTCGGACCCAGGCTGCAACAAGGCCAGCCTCGAACCCTGGCTGTCTTCCCTTTTTTCCAAACCATCTCTAGATTGGAAACATCCACACATCCCTTGGGACCGTCGCCTGCTATCTCCCAGCAGGACGATCGGAAAGCTCTCCTCCGTATCTAACCTAAATCTCTGCTGCTACAGTTTCCTACCTTACTCCCCAGCCCGGGTGGGGCCAGCCCCACGATCCCAGGACCCCACTGCCCAGGCCAAACCTATAAAGAATCCCACCCAACAACAAGGCCTGCTGGTGAGGCCCCTGCATTCCACATCCCCTCCACCCCCAACTGAGTGCAGTCTCCACACCTTCGCTCAGGCTGCGGCTCTGCCTGGGGTTATGTTCTCTTTCCAGCCACCTCTGTCCAGCGTCCAGTCCTGCTTTTTGTTTGTCAGCCCCCACCAGGGGCTCCAGAGCCCTCGCTCTAAACCCCCAGCAGATCTGCGCAGCCCCCCAAGCCTTCCCTCCTCCTATGCACCCCCACCCCACTGCCCCACGGGGGAGCATCAGAAACAGAAAAGCCAGACCTGGGCTCAAACCCCGGCTGTAACTGTGCCACTCACAGGCTCTGGGCCTCAGTGATCACATCTGTAGAATGGAAATTCAGAAAAGGACCAGGGGCCAATGAGCTAAGAGCACACAATGCAAGAGGCACTCAGCAGGAGCTGGCTGTCTCTGTGCCACTGGTCTGACCAAGACCCCGCGCTGCACGCGAGCTGCTGTGTCAGAGAAGCCAGTGGCGCCTTCCTCCCTCTGGGGGACCGTGCCAGGGACTGTCACCTGCTCCAAACCCATGAACAACAGCACTGTGTGCAGATGGGGAGGTTGAGGCAATCTGGTAATGGAGGCATCATTTATGGAATGCTCGTTAGTAAGCAGCCTGGCTAAATGCCTTATGCAAATTTTCTTATTAAGTCCACACAACCCCCTTAGGTTAGTGGTCGGCAAACTGCGGCTCGGCAAACTGTGGCTCGAGAGCCACATGTGGCTCTTTGGCCCCTTGAGTGTGGCTCTTCCACAAAATATCGACTTCTGCGCATGGGCCAAGAAGTTTCGATCACTATACATGCACCCGCATGGCCTAAGGAGCCACTGCAAACCTAATTTGACAGATGAGGAAACTGAGGCTTTGAGAGGACAAGGGTGGCCCAGGGACCCAGCCCGACAGCGCAGAGCCAGGTTTAGGACCGGAGCGTACAGATGCCAGCGCCAGCACTTGTCCCCGCGCGTGCCAGGAGTCCCGCACTCTAGGAGCTGCCCCAGCCGCAGGGAGGTCCCCACAGCTCCCACCTGCCCTGTGCGGCTGCCAGTGGACCGGCTCAGAGTCCATTGTCACATTTCCGGGAATTCTGGTAGCTTGAAGTCAGCCACGGTAGGAACACTTACACCACAGAAATCAGCGAGTCTACAAATTAGGGCTTTTCCGCTGCTGATTGTTAAACAATCAGGACCCCCATCCCACCACTCAGCACCTGCTCTGGGTGAACCGTTCCCCATCCCCCGCCCCCTGGGCAAGGGAATGAGGAGGGGCAGGCAGGGGGGTGGCCAAGGTCAGTGGTGGGGAGGTGGGCTGGGCAGCTTCACAGCACATCCTCATGGGACCAGGGGACCAGGGCTGAGAGGCGAGGCCCCGAGTGCAGGCAGTGGGAGAATAAAGATGAGGGTAAACAGTGAGCATTTCCCCTGTGTGCTGCACGCCACGGGCAGGCGAACGTTTTCTGCAAAGGACCAGAGAGTAAATATTTTCGGCTTTGCAGGCCTTGTCACAAGGACTCAGCTCTACCGTTTTAGAGCAAACGCAGCCACAGACGACATGTAAATGATATGTAAAAGCTGTGTTCCAATAATACCTTACTTACAAAAGCAGCAGCGTCCGATGGCCGACCCTGGGTAGCCAGCAGTCTGCCTACTGTCTGTTCTAAGGGCTTAACATCTCATTTAATTCTCTCCACACGCTAGGAAGCAAGTGCTGTTATTATCCCCATTTTGCAGATAAAGAAACCGAGGTCAGAGAGGAGGGGAAATGACTCATCCAAGGTCACACAGGTAAGAAACCCCAAAGCTGGGATCTGAACCTGGGCAAGGATGCCACAGCCTGGCCACTTTGTGCTGGGCTGCACTGGCTTCGGGGGCCAGGCTGAGGGGAGGCGAGGGCTCCAGAATGGAAGTAGGTTCCTGAAGGGGACTGAAGGGTGGCCTCATGCCCTACAGGCTTGGGGGGGGGGGGGGAAGGGGGTAGGAGTGTAGGAGCCAGGTCTCTGTGGGCCCCTTGGACCCCTGCCATCTCACCAGCTGGATGGAGGTCTGGAGATGGGATGCCCTGGCTGAGACCCCTGGAGTCTCAGGCGCCCTGACCAGCCCCAGTGAAGGCTGGTCACCTTTGGCCAGGGGTTATATTCCTGTTTAGTCATTGATAAACAGGTGAGAACACTGACCACCCAGAACAGGGGCAAGACAGGGGCATTGCCCACCAGAACAAAGGCTGGGCACTGGGAGACTCCCTCCACCTGCAGGACCCCCTCCCCCAGCTGTGGCTGGCATTCACGCGGATCATGGGCAGCCCTGGGCAGCCGGCACTCCTCAGGGCAGGAGAGACAAGCCAGAGGCCTCACTGGCCCCCAGGAGAGGAGAGAGGTAACAGGAGTCATGCAGGTCCCAAACCTTCGGTGGCAGAGAGGACTGCCTCTTCCCGTGTCCCTCGCTGCCTCTCTGGCCTGGCAGCCTGGGCAGCCCTGGCTGGCGATGCCACGGGGACGCAGCTGGTGGGCGCCGGGAAGACAGGCAGCTGGACGGCTCCTCACAGCCAGCTGCTCCCCAGACACTGGGGACCGTCCTGGGCCTCTTCCCCAAGGTGTGGCTGAGGAGCCGGAGCCCATCCACTAAATCTGTCCCCTCACTGCTGGCCAAAGCCGCCGCCCCCCGCCGGAGGGAACCTGCAATTTCACCTCATTTGGAGGTGAGGCTTCTAAATTTAACGCTGGGCTCCCAGGGCTGGGCAGCGCTTCTGCCTGAGCCCCTCACTTAGGGCTCTTTCATATCCGCTCAAATGCCAGCCACGGCTTAGTTTGCTTACAGAAGTTTCCAAAATAGCCCCTCTGGTTTAGCACGAAAGGAAATGGCAAAATAGCCTGAGGAATGTGAGTGTAGACACGAGGCCTGGGCGTCCTGAGGCTCTGGGAACTAGACTGTCTTCGCCAGGGCGGTCCAGTTACAGCCCCTGTGACCTTCGGCCCTGCCCGGGAGGGGTTCATGTCCGGCACCAACTCAGACCTGCAGGTGCCTGAAGGACCCGTCCCACGAGTGACCACACGAGGGCACAGGTCGGCCGTCGTCCTGGACCTCACAGCACCCCTGGGCCCATTTCACAGGTGAGAACACTGGGCACAGCCACAAAGGGCCAGATGCAAGGGGAAGGTCGAATAGCCCGTGGCTCGGCCACAGGGGACATTTGGGTGGCCGTCAGGAATATGACTTTGAAGAGTAATGAGGCGAGAATGTTCAAAATAAGGCATTGAGTGAAAAAGAGCGAGATGTCAACTATATACAACACAGTCTGTTTTCATTTTGAAACAACGCCTTCCCAGTGTTCTGCAACGGACACGTATCCTCCAAATTAGAAAAAAATGCTGATTTGAAGAAAACAGAGAGCCGTCTTTGCTCGCACAGGAATTAGGCCGAGGCCTGACCCTGCGTGTCCTTTTGTCTAGAGACCACTGCTCTCCACGGTGAGCCTGGGTCAGAGCAGCCTCCTCTTCCAAAAACACTGCTGAAGGTTCATAAGATTCGCCCTCACTCCCACCTAACTCTACCGGCGTTTTTGGTTTGTTTTTGGTTGGTTGGTTTTTATTTATTACTAGTAATTTGTTTTACTGATTTCAGAGAGGAAGGG